GGTCCCCGGAGCCGGGCCGGCGGTCCGACTTCCATTCAAGGCAAGAGAGGCGCTGCCGTTGCCTTGAATGGAAGTTGGGAGCGAGCTCCTGGGTCGCAACCCCGAGAGGAGGTAACGAGCGCTCCGGCACGGGCAGGATCAGGCCCCTTAAAATAAGGGATGCTTTTGTTGAAGGACGCGCTTTGTAGCTGGTGTGGGAAGAGATGGAGGGCGGCATGAAGCGGCAGATCATTTTTCAATGAAAATAGCGTACAGCTGTGCCTGGCGGTCTTTGTGCACGGCTCAGCATTTGCTTTCACCCAGGGAGAAGTTGGATTGGGTGATTTATTTGCCTGATTTCTTCTCCCCCCCTCCCTTCCCCCCCACCCCCCCTTTTTTTTTCTTGTTAGCCTTATTTAATTTAGAATTATTTCCTTCTTTAAAAGGTAAAAATAAATTGTTTTACTGCTGAGGAGGGGCTGGCTGCTGAAGAGCCGTAGAGAAGGACCAGGGAATCATTACTCAAAAAAAAAAAAAACCCCCACAACCAAACCCGGGGATTTGTGGTAGCACTTTAATTCGTGCACTTGACATTGCAGATTGGAACCAGATGCGGTGCTCGCTGGGGGAGGGGGGACACTGGTGGCAATAGGTGGCGCAGTGAGTTACCGCTTGAACCCATCACCTCCACCAGCCTTGCTTCCAGCCAGCTCCCGGCTCCCGTCAGAAACGTGGGAGAAGACGTGGGATCGCCCCTTCGGTTCTCCAAGGATGGTGTTAACATGCCAGCGCATCTTCAGACAGCCTCGCTAATACCATTAGCATTTGCTTTCCCTTTGCCCAAGGAATGGGCCACCCCAGGGGAAAGGTTGTCCTGGATTTAATGGGTTTAGAACTAGTCCAGTTACGAGCATCAAAACTCCTTGCAATGAGCGTATCAGAGCACTGCTGGGCGCCGATCAAATGATGCCCTTTAAAAAAAAAGAAGAGATAAACCTTCCTCCTGCCCCCCCCACTTTCCCCAAAGCCAGAACAATTAAAGGGTATGAAGCTGAACAGATGATGGATAAGCAACATTAAAATGCACACAGGGAAACTGATTGCATTGACCGTGGGTTAATAAGTGCCTTACAAAATAATTTCTTATTGCTTATATTATGCCATCAAATTACCTTCATAAATAGCCTTAAAATTCATCTCACAGCAATTTTATACAATTATAATGGGAGAAGAGGAAGAATTACTCTTCCTTCCTGCTGCACTGCAAAACTAATAAAAGGGCCGTGATCCCAGCTCCAGGAATCTTGCTGTCTATATGGTAGACTATAAGCTCATAATGTGCAGCAGAACAAGGCGGTTCCCACACCACGGGCACTTGCTGGCAGAGCTGTTTCGTCCCATTGTGTGAACAGATGTGATCTTTGACTAACATCACTGTGGTGGTGAACGTCCCCTGTTACACCGGCAAAGCTGTCCTTTCACCAAAGTAGCCCGTTTCATGTGCACGTCTGGTTTGACCATATCATATGATAACAGCTTTGCTGTCACAGCTGTGGTCCTGCAAAGGCTGGAAGAGGCTGGAATGAAGTGCCTGCATAATTCTTCAGTTAAGTATTTATCCAGAGCGTCTATCTAGAATTTCAGGGCTTTGTTCTGTTTTGTTTTTTTTAATAAAAGAATATCGACAAGGTATCTCCACGATGCTCAGATGGAGAAGGCTGATAGTCTTTGGAGCCCCTTCACGTCTGCCCCACTGAAGGAGCTGATGTTGTTTGTTTTCTTGTTTTCCAGAACTGCTTGAGGAGGAGGGACGCCGGCCTACTAAATCAGTTACAAGAGCTAGATAAGCAAATAAGTGACCTCCGCCTGGACGTGGAAAAAACGACTGATGAACACCTTGAGACAGACAGTCGTCCAAGTTCAGGTAAGGCCAATATTCAGCAAAATGGAGCCTCCCTTGGTACCTGGACTTAAACTGGCTGTAGTTTTCAGTACTACAACAGTAAATGTCTATAGCATGTTCACACTCTGACAATTAAAATTAATGCCTACTAGCAAAGTTCACCTCCTCCGAAAAAGGTTGCTGTTTGTAGACAACATATTCAGAGGAGCATTTCAAGCTTAATTAGATTTTTAGTGTTTGAGGCATTTTTTTTTTTCAAGGCTACCAACAAATTAGTTCAAAAAGTTCTAATTGTCCTGCATATTAGGAAGGAGGCTGCAGGAAAAATGGTGAAAGGAAGCACCACCAGGAGCAGGAAGATGTCAAAATTGATCTTACAGCCAGAAGGAAACATTGAATCAAACAATTTGATCCCCCGTATATTGAATTTCATCCCATTCTAACTGTGTTGAAGCCAGTAAGTGGTATTTAACTATGGGGAACCTTTCCTAGAGGCATCTAGACTTGTTCTGAAGACACTAAAAAGTGGAGAATCCACCAGTTTGCAATTGTTAAAACTATTGCTAATTTCTAACCTGAATTTGACTTGTTCCAGCACTGATTTTTTTACCTGCTTTTCTCCCATAGAGTAAGGTTTTTTCTAGTACCCAGCTTTTTCTCCTCTTGGAGGTGCTATGCAGTATAATTCCTGACTTTTTTTGATGAGCTAAACAGATCGAGTTCATTAAAAGTCATTCATTTTAAGGCATTTTTCCAAGCTCTTAAATAGCTTTATGCCCCCTTTCCAATTTTTTAGCTTTGCTTTAAGCATGCTGGATTCGAGGACTAGGCACACCATTCCAATGTCTTTCTTACTTCAGCAGTATATAATGACTTCAGCAGTATAGACTGCTGAAGTCATTTCCCTACTGCTATTCATCAGTCTCTTTGTACATCCAACAAGCTCATTAGCTTTTTTTGCCATATCATTAAGCTTGATTGAGCTGCTTTTCCACGCTGACTAAGTCCTTTTCAGGATTATTGTTTTCCAGGATGCGTTCCCATTCTGTAGACATGCCCTGGTTTCCTTATTCCTAAATGTACAATTTAAATTTTGATTATGGTATGTCATATTTTTCTTGAGTAGTCCCAATTTACCAGGAAATTAAATTTTCTGTGTCCGCACATTATTTACCATGTTCCTTCTTTCATGTCTTCCACAAATATTATATTTATCTCCAGAACTTTGAGGAAAATAATGGATAGCATTGGACCCAATACTTGGTAAAAATTTTGTTAGTCAAGTAATAGCTGGAGAGTCTGTCTTGGAAGTATAATACACTATTAAATGAGCAGGCTGTCAAACACAGCCTGGATCCCTCTTGCTAAAATCTGAAAACCCCTGTAAAGGCTAAAAACCCCAACCCCTGTAAAGGTTAAAAAAAAGTTCAAAATTTCATGTGCTAAGTAAAGTTCTGCTTTTTTACTTTTAAGTGCTTTTACTTTTAAACGGAATCCTTCTTAGCAATAAGGATAGTACTAAATTGTGCACTGGTTTTTGGGTGACTGAATGAAATCCCATAACTAATTGCAGTAGAGTAAGCCAACATAAACATGAGCCTGACTGCCTTTCTAGGGACACAAATGGCAACTTTGTGTAGACAAAACTAATATAAATCCAAACTCTTATTTTTATAGGGTTTTATGAGCTGAGTGATGGAGCTTCTGGATCGCTCTCCAATTCATCTAACTCTGTCTTCAGTGAGTGTTTATCCAGTTGCCATTCTAGCACTTGCTTTTGCAGCCCTTTGGAGGCAACACTGAATATCTCAGATGGACGCCCTAAATCTGCAGGTATAGTAAAAGCAGGTCGAATGCATCATACTCCAGGAGGTGGCTTTGGCTTTGGAAATACTGCCTCAGGAGTATCTGGGTTGGATTAACCCTTCTTCCTTTCATTTGATGTATTGTGCTCTGAAAAGATTCCAGTGCCTATCACGTACATGGGTCACGAGTAAGGACCGTTTGCCCTCCACTAGTCCAGCCTTACATGTGAATATGTCACTCCAAACACATGAAAAGAACATGTGAAAATACAACAGCTGCTCTGCCCAGTAGAGGGCAGTGGTACCTATACACATGAACACGTTAGTCGGCTAATTTCTCATGGTTTCCCTTAGAAAAGCATTTTTACTAAATAGCAATAATGAAGGATACCTCAACAGCCATGTCCTCATTAAAGTGACAGAGCAAGGAGCTAGCTACAGGTTTTAGGAGGTCAGAGGGCACGTCAGTCTGTTTGTAGCAGTCATTTTGTCAGTTCTGATGGTCCTCAACCCCTAGGTGACCATGCTGAGGTGTCCTGCATTTATATAGTATAGACAAATAGACATCACGAACAGGGAAAAAGTATTTTGTCTCTTTGGCAGAGTGCTGTTGACTTTCCTTGGACACTAGGCTGAAGATGCAAGCCTTAATGTGTGGGGTGGTTAAACAGGAGGGTGGCTTCTGTCTGTTGTCCAGAAAGGACACTTCAGTAGGACTTTTGTGATCAAGTGTTGCTGGTTGCAGCCATACTCATTCAAAAACCTTAGTTCAGTCTGGGTTGTGGAGGATGCTCCTAACCATAGTATTTCCAATTTCCATTCTGCTCTTTACGGTTAACTCACAGTGATTTTTTTTTTTGTGAATCAAAGACAAAATAATTCAAATTCTTCTAACTCTAAAGTGGGAAAAATACAGCCTGGGATACATTCATTCTGAGATGCTGAGAAGTCCTCTAAGTTATTCTTTGAGCAGCTTGACGTAATTTAATGCTCCCTGATGTAAGGTATATGTGATCTTCATCAGCCATACATAAAAAGAAAAACATACACAAGGATTTCCAGCAGATTGCATTGCTGTTTTTTTCTGTATACATCACGAAAACCTAAAACTCTCATTATTCATACCGTCTCACTTTTAGAGATGAAATTTCACAAACTGGCATGTTTCAAAGAAGTGTTTTTGTCAACATTTCCTGACTCCAACATAGAATTTAGGAAAAGTGGAGGAAGTTCATGCTCCTAACTTCCCTGTTCTTCCTCTCCTGCTCACATAGGAACATCATCTCTATCAGCTAATTTCATCAATGTCTGTGAGACCTCTTTTGAAATAAGCCTTAGATAAGTGATGAGCACTGAGCATTCAAATTTGAGTACCCTGGCTGAAGTTTCTAGCCCAAGGGTAGAAAACAGGACTGACAGTGATCTAGAAGGATCATTTAGAGTGTACCCCTACCCAAAAAGACAAGGGCAACATAAGCTTAAGAAAATAATAATCTTAGGTGCTTGGATTGAAGCCTTGCTCCTAAGGTCGCTTACCTCCCAAGTAAGTGCCTTAGCCATTAAATCTGACTCATGCATCCTGAAACGCACTGGATTTCTCTTACAGAACTCTCTTTGCAGAGCCAAGGCTAGGATGTCAGCTGGATGGACCTGCACTCCTTGTACTTTTGTGGAAAGATGAGCCTGTTTGCCATTCTTTAACCCTTTATTGCTCAAAAGGAGCATCTGTTATTATTATTAGCGTTATTACAATTATAAAATAATTGTGATGATAATAATAATAATAGTAACAACAACAACAACAACAAAATTAAATCTGGATTTTTTTTGACCCAAGATACACTTGAAAGTCTGGAAGTGAAATTTGTCAATAAGCTAAAAGAAATCATTGGACTCTTGCCTATATTTTTTATGTTTCCCTTTGGATTTAGCAAAGTAAAATATAAAATTCTTATGTGCTGAGGCCTGCAGTGGGTTTTAGAGGTGCCTGTGTAGCATGTAAACAGAAGAGACCCTTACAGACTTCTGGGTGGCTTGGAAGTAAAATAGGAAGCTTTTAGCAACCTAGGCACAGGTTTGAAACCAAAGTAAATGTTCTCATTAGGGCTGTGATTTTTATTTTTTAAACTATGTAGTCATATTGGGGCAAATCCTACATAGATGCAGTTACAGAGAGACCCACAGAAGAATAGCGCTGCTTTTACATCGCTTAAACGGCATCCCTGGTTGCAAGGTTTCTACTGTTTGAACAGCGCTGCTGTTGTGTAAACATTGAATCGTATGTGTAGATGGGACCAGAGTCCTTGATGGCACATGAAAAACGTAGCAGAACTGTCCCTGGCAGACTCTCTAAACTCTTCTAAAATGCCTTTCAGATCTCATAGGCTGGATGGACTATAATAAGGAAGGCCAGCATGAGGACCAGACCACAGGCTCTGTCTGTCGCTCTTTGTCCACACCGCACTCAAATTCCCTCGATGTCGTTGCAGATGTACATCCAAAGTACCAGTGCGATCTGGTGTCTAAAAACGGGAACGACGTCTACCGGTACCCCAGCCCACTCCATGCGGTAGCTGTGCAGAGTCCCATGTTTCTTCTCCCCGTGACTGAAAACCCCCAGCGAGAAGAGGAGAGGCTTGGTTGTGATATTAGCGACGTTTGCGCCGGATCTGAAACGGACTCGGGAAAATCCAACAATGCCTTTCTCCCGCAAGGCTCCTGGCCAGCGCCGTGCCCTTCCACCAGCAAGAGGATAGATGGTTACATCTTAAGCCTGGTTCAGAAAAAGACTCATGCGGTAAGGACTAACAAACCGAGGACGAGTCTCAACGCCGATCCCACCAAAGGGATCTTGAGGCATGGAAGCATGTGTGTCAGGCAGCCTGCCGGGGTGGTGGCTCACGGTAACATCGTGAACCTGAAGAGCTCCAAGCAAGCATGCTTACCTTCTGGTGGGACCACCGCTCTGGACCACACGGCACCCTCCCCGTTAAAGCAGAGGCCGAGGGAGCCGGCTGGCGAGCAGCTGGAGAGTAGGAAGGCACCTTTGTCGGCAGCTTTCCTGCCTGGTGCAGCGAGCGAACTTCAGAGCAAGCACCTTTCACGGGGTGTCAAACCAGCGCCTCCGGAGCATAACCGCAACACAGTGGTCGCGGTGGGGGACATCCCCAAGGAGAACAGCCAGCTCTTTGCCGTGTCTCCCAAAGAGAGCCCGGGGAAGACTGTGGCGTTGCAGCCGGAGAACAGGGTCAGCC